TAACTTTTGATGGGATTTATCTAAAGTGTCAATAAATATTTACTTTTAAATAGTCCAGACACTTAAAAAGGCTGGTTTTAATCTAAAACTAGTCTGAAAAACAACTATATCTGCCACAGAAAATAGCACTGAATGGAAATCCTACAAAGGACTTACTTGAGATAGAAGTTAAATAAACACTTTTATAAGGATTTTAGACAAAGTTTGACTGAGTCCTCTTTTTTATATTCAGCAGCCTCTTCTTAAAAAGGAAAAATAAGTCTTTAAATGACTTTTCCAGAAATCCTAACTCAGATTTAAATGCTTTTCAACCCCCAGTTTTTCCTCTAAAACCAAAGCTTTGGATCTTTAATGTTTAGTTAACATGGTAACGATCACATTATTTGCATTTTAAGCTTTTTGCGTGTTGTTTTAAATCTAAATCTGGTTTCTGAGAGGGAGGGGGCGGAGCTAAACTCCATTCACTGACCTCCATCTTTTTCCACTTAAAATCTAAACTTTGGGAGACACAAATTAAAAAGAAAAGCCATTTCAATACTTTTTCAAGGATATAAACACCATAAATCAGATTTAAACCGCAGAATTCGACTCATTTAGTGCAAATTAATGTGTTTTAAACTCTTTTTACTCCAGAATTCGACTCATTTAGTGCAAATTAATGTATTTTTTAACTCTTTTTACTCCAGAATTCGACTCATTTACTGCAAACTAATGCATTTTTCAACTTTTTTTACTCCAGAATTTGACTCATTTAGTGCAAATTAATGTATTTTTTAACTCTTTTTACTCCAGAATTCAACTCATTTAATGCAAATATATGTATTTTTTAACTCTTTTTACTCCCACTTTGGTTTCTCCTGTCATGTTTCATTCACCTGGGACTTAATCTGTAATATTTTAGACTTGAATACTCATTTTTGGGACTAAAAAGGGCGGCAGGTCCAGATTTCGACTCATTTAGTCCAAACTAATGCATTTTTCAACTTTTTTTACTCCAGAATTTGACTCATTTAGTGCAAATTAATGTATTTTTTAACTCTTTTTACTCCA